GCGACCATCTCAGCAACGTGGCCAGTATAGAAGACATTGCTGGCAGAGAGGATGTCCAACAGGTGCCTCAGAGGCGACTTGGGCTTGGACAGCCAAGCGTGAAGTGCCTTCGCGGCTGCCCGCAGTTCGGCCTCCGTGGGAGTCCCAGCCACTTCTGCTGCTTCCGTTCCTTTGGAACGCTTGGCTGCTCGGAAACTTCCGGTGTCCGATTGCGTTTGGGAACCCTTGCCTAGGTTCAAGACCCGCACGTGAGGTTCGAGGGCCGTGATCTCTGTCATGACTTTTTGGTGGAGTTCCGGACGCATCAGCTGGGTCATGCTCTCGCCCTTGATTGCGGTGAGGGCGAGCTGCAGAGAAGCTGCCGTCATGCTGATTCCGGCACCTACGTGCCAAGCGTCCTGCTCTTGATCGGCGGCCAGGTGACTGTGGTACATGGCGCGCTTATTGCCCTTCGCCGTGGAGGCCCACAAATCAGCCAAGCTCATCTTGTCCACGGCAGAAGTGCCATGCGGTTCCAGGAGCTGGGCCGCGACCTGGTCGTAGGGAAAGAGTTTAGTTCGGCGCTTTGCCGCAGCCACCTCCTGAGACTCCTCGTCGGCCTCCTGCTCGTGGCCGCGCTTCTCGAAGAGAGCCATCTTTGGATCGGGATTTGAGGACAGGCTGAGTGCAAGTGCTCGTGAGGTCAACAGGCTGCGGGTCCAATCACAGAAGAGCGATATATGTCAAACACCGTACAGCTCTAACTGGGATACTGCAACGAAATGGTATGTGCTTGCAAGCATGGCCATCTGTCGGATCATGCGCACACGCTCCAAAAGATTTTTGAACGGTTGCTGCTGTGCAGTTCTTGTTGACATTCTGTGCTGCGTTGCCAACAACGTCTACACGACTTGAGATTCACCGATCTTGAGATCGAGCAAAAGCATTTCAGGCTGAATCCGGGCTCCGCAATCCGAGACGAATCAACATTTGCGAAGCCTTCTCATCCTGCTACCTCACTCGAAAAGACCTGTGTTAGAGCTCG